CCTCCCAAAGTGCTGGGATTACAGGCTTGAGCCACCGCGCCCGGCCTTGTACATGTTTTTTACAGTAATGCCATAATACAGTAATAACTATCATTTTGTCATATGGCTTGATGTTGGGTGAGACAAGTTCTCCCTCATTACTCTTATTTAGCCTTTTTACTTGAAAAGTCTATGCAGTCGGGCGTGGTGGTGTGTGCCTGTAGTCCCAGCTACTCAGGAGGCTGAGGTGGGAGGATCGCTTGAGCCCAGGAGTTCTGGGCTGTAGTGCGCTATGCCGATTCGGTGTCCACACTAAGTTTGGCATCAATATAGTTACCTCCCGGGAGCAGGGGACCACCAGGTTGCCTAAGGAGGGGTGAACCGGCCCAGGTTAGAAATGGAGCAGGTCAAAACTCCCATGCTGATCGGTAGTGGAATCGCATCTGTGAATAGCCACTGCAGTCCAGCCTGGGCAACATAGCGAGACCCCATCTCTTAAAAAAAAAGAAAAATGAAAAGTCTATGCAGTCTAACTCATCCTTCTTCATTAGTCATCTGAATCGACTTTTCGCTAGTGTCATCAATGATGTATTTACCAAACCAGTGTTTACCTATTAGACCCCTATGTGCATTTGACATCATGATTACTTTTTCTTTGAAGTTCTCCCCAAATGTGTACATAACATTTGTATTAGTCAGCTTGGGCTGCCATTGCAAAATATATTAAACTCTCTTAAAACAACATAAATTAATTCTCTATTAATTCATCCCTCATACTCCTTATTTTAACCCCACTCCAAGAACTACTGTTCTGTGGCTGCCAATCTGACTGCCTAGAATAAGTTAAGAGGAAAATCAGTATAGGTGGAATAACAGGAGATATTTTAGTAACAGTTTAATTATTTGTTTTTGATAAAAGTTTCTGATCAGACATTTCTCTTGTGAAAGTCAGAATTACAAGGACTCATATTTTCCAAAAATACCTTTTTATTCATTTATTTATTGAATTTTTTTAGAGATGGGGTTTCACCATGTTGGCCAGGCTGGTATTGAAATCCTGACCTTAGGTGATCCAGTCACCTAGGCCTCCCAGAGTGCTGGGATTACAAGCGTGAGCCACTGCTCCCGGCCTCAAAAGTACCTTTTTTAAAAGATAGAGACAGTCCAGGTGCGGTGGCTCACACCTGTAATCCCAACAGTTTGTGAGGCCAAGGTGGGTGGATCACTTGAGGCCGGGAGTTCAAGACCAGCCTGGCCAAGATGGCAAAACCTTGTCTCTACTAAAAATATAAAAATTAGCTGGGCGTGGTGGCACACATCTGTTATCCCAGCTACTCAGGAGGCTGAGGCATGAGAATTACTTGAGCCCAGGGGGTAGAGGTTGCAGTGAGCTGAGATCGTGCCACTGCACTCCAGCCTAGGTGACAGAGCAAGACCCTGACTTAAAAAAAAAAAAAAAATCAAGAAACCTGTGTTACAATTGAAAGAACTAAATAATCAAGATCAAACAAATTCAAAAGCTAGCAGAAGAAATAACTAAGATAAGAGCAGAACTGAAGGAGGTAGAGACACGACAAGCCCTTCAAAAAATCTATGAATCCAGGAGTTGGTTTTTTGAAAAGACAAAATAGATTGACTGCTAGCCAGACTAATAAAGAAGAAAAGAGAGAATAATCAAATAGATGCAATAAAAAATGATAAAGGGGATATCACCACGATCCCACAGAAATACAAACTACCATCACAAAATACTATAAACATCTCTACACAAATAAACTAGAAAATCTAGAAGAAATAGATAAATTCCTGGACACATACACCTTCCCAAGGTGAACCAGAAAGAAGTTGAATCCGTGAATAGACCAATAACAAGTTCTGAAATTGAGGCAGCAATTAATAGCTTACCAACCAAAAAAAGTCCAGGACCAGATGGATTCACAGCTGAATTCTACCAGAGGTACAAAGGGGCTGGTACCATTCCTCCTGAAATAATTCTGAACAATAGAAGAAGACAGAATCCTCTCTACCTCATTTTATGAGGCCAGCATCATCCTGATGCCAAAAACCTGGCAGAGATACAACAAAAAAAGAAAATTTCAGGCCAACATCCCTGATAAACATCAATCTGAGGCCGGGCGCGGTGGCTCAAGCCTGTAATCCCAGCACTTTGGGAGGCCGAGGTGGGTGGATCACAAGGTCAAGAGATCGAGACCATCCTGGTCAATATGGTGAAACCCCGTCTCTACCAAAAATACAAAAAATTAGCTGGGCATGGTGGTGCGTGCCTGTAATCCCAGCTACTCAGGAGGCTGAGGCAGGAGAATTGCCTGAACCCAGGAGGCAGAGGTTGCGGTGAGCCGAGATCGCGCCATTGCACTCCAGCCTGGGTAACATGAGTGAAACTCCGTCTCAAAAAAAAAAAAACATCAATCTGAAAATCCTCAATAAAATACTCGCAAACTGAATCCAGCAGCACATCAAAAAGCTTATCCACCACGATCAAGTCAGCTTCATCCCTGGGATGCAAGCATGGTTCAACATACGCAAATCAATAACCATAATCCATCACATAAACAGAACCAATGACAAAAAAATACATGATTATCCCAATAGATGCAGAAAAGGCCTTTGATAAAATTCAACAGCCCTTCATGCTAAAAACTCTCAATAAACTCGGGCGCGGTGGCTCATGCCTGTAATCCTAGCACTCTGGGAGGCTGAGGCGGGCGGATCACCTGAGGTCTGGAGTTCAAGACCAGCCTGACCAACATGGTGAAACCCCATCTTTAAAAAAACAAACAAACAAACAAAAAAACTCTCAATAAACTAGGTATTGACAGAATGTATCTCAAAATAATAGCCATTTATGACAAACCCACAGCCAATATCATACTGAATGGGCAAAAACTGGAAGCATTCCCTTTGAAAACCGGCACAAGACAAGGATGCCTTCTCTCACCACTCCTATTCAACATAGTATTGGAAGTTCTGACCAGGGCAATCAGACAAGAGAAAGAAATAAAGGGTATTCAGTTAGGAAAAGAGGAAGTCAAATTGTCTCTGTTTGCAGATGACATAATTGTATATTTAGAAAACTGCATCATCTTAGCCCAAAATCTCCTTAAGCTGATAAGCAACTTCAGCAAAGTCTCAGAATACAAAAGCACAAGCATTTGTGCAAAAATCACAAGCATTCCTATACACCAATAACAAACAGAGAGCCAAATCATGAGTGAACTCCCATTCACAATTACTACAAAGAGAATAAAATACCTAGGAGTACAACTTACAACGGATGTGAAGGACCTTTTAAAGGAGAACTACAAACCACTGCTCAAGGAAATAAGAGAGGACACAACAAAAAACAGCCCAGGCATGGTGGCTCATGCCTGTAATCCAAGCACTTTGGAGGCAAGGCGGGTGGATCACCTGAGGTCGGGAGTTCAAGATCAGCCTGACCAACATGGTGAAACCCTGTCTTAAAAAACAAAAACAAGGCCGGGCGTGGTGGCTCAAGCCTGTAATCCCAGCACTTAGGGAGGCCGAGGCGGGTGGATCACGAGGTCAAGAGATCGAG